TGTTGGCAAATGATATTATACTCTATTTCAAATAGGAAACTGAAGAGATTGTGTCTGGGTCCTTTGACTATGCAGTGAATGACCTCAACTATTTATGGATGCTGTTACCCATTCTTCCATCTGACCACAGAGAACATAAGAAAAAATAGCAATATTCAACAGCCATTCTGTGTTCTTCTGATCATTTCTCTCAACCATCTCCCCCTCAACATTAATCTTTTTAATATAGTCCTTTACCTTATCCATAGATACATTTACTTTTTGGTATGTGTATGTTCATGTCATTGTGTGCACATGTATAAGGGTACACATGTGTGAATGCACATATATACAAGTGTGTATAGAGGCCTGAGGTCAGTATTGGGTGCTTTCCTTAATCTCTCTCAACTTATTTTTTTGAGACAGGGTCTCTCATTTTACCCAGAGCTCACCAATATAAGCTGGCTGGCTAATGAACTCGAGAGGGATGCCTGTTTGTTCCTGAGCACTGGGTTTAGAGATACATACCATCAGCCTAACTGCAGATCCAAAGTTAGCTTCCCATGCCTGCATGGTGGGCTCTTTACTGATAGAGCCATTCCCTGCAGCTGCCACAAATCTTCTCTTTATTAATGGTTTTAAATTAGGTGTATAATTGTGTGGAAGTGTACACAGTTACCCTCATAGTGCAGAAGAGGATATCATCCCCAAGGCTCAAGTTAAATGCAGTTGTGAGCTGTGTTTATGTGAGCTGCACATAGGTGCTGGGAGCTCAGCTTAGGTTTTCTGCAAAATACATGTTCTTAATTCCTGGGCCATCTCTCCAGGCCTCAAGCCTTCTTATTAAAAATGTGAAAATAGTGGAGTAACTGTGGCAGCCACAGATTTAGTTCTCTGAAGAAGCAAGCCCAAGAACACCTATTGAGTAAAAATAAAGATGCTATAAAGGAGTTTATTTTGAAGAATACCTAATATACATTGAGAGATGACTCTCGGTTAATAAAACTTTATTCCTATAAGACACATGTATTAAATTTTCTTTCTATTAAAATAACTTCTTTCTAGCCAGGCATGGTAGTGCACACCTTTTGTCCCAGCACTGGGGAGGCAGAGGCAGGAGGATCTCTGTGAGTGGTCAGTCTGTTGTTATATGTAATGTGATAACAAATTTGAGACCCTGTTACCACTTTTGATGGATAGTGACAAGATTGAAACAAGTATATAGCCCTTGAACTGTGTATATTAAATGTAGAATGTTTATGTACATTAGTGATATTTGCATATATATTCATGTTTAAATGAGTTTCTTTCTTTCATATGTGTGTTGTTATGCTTGTGCATGTATATACATATGAGTATGTTTGTGTGCACGTGAAAGCCAAAGGTGTTCGCTATTGCTTTCCACCTTATCTTTTAAGAGAGGATTTCTCACTGAACCTGGAGTTTACCAACTCAGTCTTGACTGATTAATCTGTGAGCTGAAGGGATTTCCCATGTGTTTTCCTGTTCCAAGATCACAGATCACTTCTGTGCCTGCTCTTTTGTTTGGTTGCTTAGGATCAAAACACAGGTCCTTATGTTTGTACGGCAAGTACTTTCCTATGGAGCCTTCTCCCCAGATCCTTTTTAACAGTGACTACAGTTGAGGTACAAGTACAGATTGCTATTTACTAGGACAGAAAGAAATAAAACACAGTGCTTGTGTAGAAAATTAGGTTCAATACATTCTCTTTCTCATTTTTTTACACTTCACACTGACTTAAGACTGACATTGGCTCCAACTGTTAGTGTTGGAGCCTATCCTTTAAAATGGATAATTTTTGAAACTCAGTAGTTTTGGAGTATCTGTTGTGTGACCAGGATTAAGTATGGTATAAAGTGGCCTTCAGTTTTTCATTTAAAAATCTTATATATGTTATATAAGTTTTACTATACATGTGAAAATCTAATAACATAATGCTCCAGAAATATATATTAAATCAATTATTTTTTAATTTAGCTAATCATTGCTATCTTCAAATCGTTGGCTGAAATGACAAAATCTCTAGTTCTTCCATAAGTTTTGTGAAATGCTGTCGTGTGACTAGGCCAGCTCTGTTGTGGCTCATAAGAGTTGACTTTTCATGTCTTTCCAACTCTACAGTCGATGAACTGAATCAGCCATCGCAGGAGGGTTTATGTTTTAGAATTAACACATATCATTAACCATGGCTCTCCTCCCCTCACTTCCCTTCATTTTCACTCAGCTCAGCACTCCCTCCTTTTTCTCCCATCCCTCTTTACCTTTCTTTTTTTTTGGGGGGGGGTTTCGAGACAGTGTTTCTCTGTGACTTTGGAGGCTGCCCTGGAACTAGCTCTTGTAGACCAGGCTGGTCTGGAACTCACAGAGATCCGCCTGCCTCTGCCTCCCGAGTTCTGGGATTAAAGGTGTGTGCCACCAACGCCCAGCTCCCTCTTTACCTTTCTATTTATTAGCATACCTCTGAAGATATGGTTTTATTTTCCTGTCCCCCCCCCAAGAATTTAGTCTTAGAGATGTAGCTCCTTATGTGATGTTGCTATATCAGAATCTTTACAGGATCTAGCAGAGGCTTACTAAGCATAATATGAACACAGTGGTACTTATTATTTTCTGTTTAAGGGTAGATCCCAGTGGGATTTGGATTTTCATGATAGATTAAGTATCCCTATGAACTGTCCATTTCCCTGATGTTTCATGTTGTTTTAGTTTATATTGCTCAATCTCCAGTTTTGTACATGCCAGACAGCCCTGTAGTACTTACTGAGCCACAGTCACAGCCATCTATTTTCATTTTTCTTGTTAATAATTGTTTAAAATGAGATTTTGAGGTTTGTAAGTTTCTCTCATCTCCATTAAACATGAATTGATTTTCAGGCAATCACTGATACTTTCAGTATGGCCTGTTTTAGAATTGTTTTGCCATGCTTGGTTTTCTAACACATATTTACAAATGTTTCCAGAATTTGACTTAGTAAACCTTATTCTGCTGCTGACTCTTTCTGTGAACCTAAACAGGCTTCCTTAGCTATTGACTATGGGAGATTTGACCAGTGTCTTCTAAGATCATGGCTGTTCACGCCATCATTAAAACTCTTAATGTTCTTAACAAGTAGAATATCTCTTATGTTTGGAATACTAGTATAGAATGTACATCCTAAATTATAATCAACCTTTAGAAGTAAAGTCTATCATCTTGTTTGCAATAAAGATCTTTTCTTTTACTAGTTTCAGAAACTAAACCTGAGGGAGTTCTACTGTGAGGGAAATCCACTCTTCTTGAAGCGGCCAATTACTACCGAACAACCTAAAGACATCTGGACTCTACGGGTGAAAGTTTAGCTCATAAGCATGAACCTTCACACTACACCCATGGTTTAAGATGCAATGCATTCTTGGCAAGTCAGCAAATATGTAACATTGATCCTTTAAGAATGTGGATCCTCCATGACAGTTTTTGACTTCTCACAGAATTCAGTGTAATCTGTTTGATTTCTAGACTGACTAAACAGAGAGAAGTGAACATTTTTCATTGGATGAAAAGAAAAGAGGATTTATTTTTACTTTAGCCTTCTAAGTTTTTTTTTGCTGGTAGTGGGCTCTTTATTGCTTTTGTTTTATTTTCACTTGTCTCCTTTCCTAATGAGTGCATGGATTTGATCTGGAGCTCACTGTGTCCAGTTTGGTGAAACTAATTAATGATATCAAAGAAAGACCAGGGAAGCATATTGAAGGGCTTCTTTACTACCAGAAAAGATAAAAACCATAGGTCCTCCCAGAGTTGAGCATGATTCTCTATCATGAATTTTTATATACCAGATTCATTTGGATCTAAGGATGAATATATAAGATTGCTTCAGATGGAAATTAGTTATAATGCTTTTAAAATTGTTTTCTTATCATGAAAGCAATATAGATGCATGTGTAAGAATAGGAAAAAGCCAATGACAATTGGTGAAAACTCAGAAATCTAATTAGGAAGGTATTACTACCCTCTGACTCTCTTGTGCATTTGCAATGTATTTTAAATTTAAAATGAATCAATACTCTATATGCTACTTAGAGACTCACATTTTTACTGCAATTATTGGGAATTTTTAATCAGATTAAAACATTAAGATATCTTTTTAGACAAATATATGTTATTGTGTTATATAATAATATTTTAACTATTTTCTCACTGTTAGATGTTTAGATCATTAATATTCACCCATTTTTGTCTTTACATATGAGGCTAAACTGACCTTATTTACAGTAGATGTCTTTCATGTCCATATTATCTCAATGAATAAAATTGTAATGGATAAGAACTGTTTTCTTTGAAGAGCAACTCTTTTCAAATTCCTGGAGATTATTTTCATAAACAGCATTATTTCTTGCTCTTGTATGGGAGAATTGTATTGATTAAATTAATTATTTAAAACTGTCATATTTCATTTAAGCCTCTATAACTTGTTCTTTTTTCTCCTGCTTCAAGTGTACCAGAGTAATAATTCTAGCTACATATTTTAAGGTTTCTGTGAACAGGTACTGTACTTATGAACACAGTAGTTGTTTGATTACCATCAAGAGGTAGGTGTCTTTATTGTACCCCCTTTTATAGATAGAGAAACTAAGACCTAGAGAGTCTAACTAACTTGTTCACAGTCACAGAATTTATGTTGGGGCTTGAGTGTTGATGGCAACCTCTACAGTTGGCCTCCAGACCCCACACTGCAGTGTTGTTAAGAGATAAGGTGCAAAAGGGTAAGCAGATTTTCTTGGGATTGAGGATATGAGATTCTAGATAGTGGAGGAGGCTGGATGAATACTTAGGTAGCTTAAGAGGTATAGAACACTTCTTTCTTTTAATTTTTAAAAGTGTAAGGTCCAGGAGCTCAAAGTAAATTTTATGTATATATTTATAATGAATGTATGCATAGGTGGATATAGTGAATAAATTATATAGTAGAAATTATTAGTTTTACTTATAATATATAAATGGTTTAGTGGTTTTGAAGGTACTTCTATAAATTTTTCTCAGAATGGTGGATCAAACTGACAGTATATTTGTACTCACTGTCTTTTCTAGTTGACATTTGGTTAACATTAACAATTAAATTCTTTTGGGTTACAATGGTCCATAGGGCTTTGAAACTGTATCTGCTTTAGTAGAGAATTTCTAAAAGATACACTTGGCCATTTAGGTCTGTAATCCTAGCTGCATGGAAGGCTGAGGCAGAAGCATCACAAGTCCAAGGCTTGAAGTATCAAGTGACTTTTAAGCCAGCTTAAATGACTTAGACTATGTTAGAATTAAAAGTAAAGTGAGGGTTGGGCATATAGCTCAGTGATAGAATGCTGGCAGTATCAAAACAAAGTTTAAGAACCTTCCTTACCTCAGAAATTTATTAACTAGGATCTGATTCTGGTAACTCAGTGCATCAGCAGATGCAGGGCAGATGCTTTGCTATTATTAGCTCATCTCTATAAACTCTGTTTTAGTACTAGAAAAACTCTCATTTTACACATGAGATATTTGGGACCAGGTGAATTAAGATCTTGTCCAAATAAGTCCATGCAGCCAATACAACTCTGCACATGATGGACCCAGAGCACTTGCTTAGATGCTGTGTGTCCTCCTCCTGTGCTCACAGTAGCAGCTCATTACAGTCATTTTCAAATCTACCCTTCCTTCTAAAGATTCATATTTCTTTCTATATGTTATAATTTTTATAGTTTCAAGGATGTAATTTGTTGACATAAAACATTAGAATTCATATGACCATATGTAAGAAAATTTAAGAGTGCATATGAATTTACTTTCAATTTATAGTGGATTAGAAATAGGCAGTAAGACCTACTTAAAATATTCTGACAAAGTAGCATACAGGTGATTCAAAATAAACAACTTATTTATTTATAAAAAATTCTTAGATTTAAAATAACAATGGAATGATGTCATACTTAAATGATATAGTTTCAGAAAAGTCACAAAATGTGTCTCTAAGAGGTGTCCTAAAAGATACTATTATTCAGGTGATGGTGGCATACACCTTTAATCCTAGTACTTGGGAGGCAGAGGCAGGTGGATCTCTAAGTTTGAGGCCTGCCTGATCTACTGAACAACTTCCAGGATGGCCAGGGCTACACAGAGAAACCCCTGTCTCAGGAAAAACCAAAAACTTAAAAGAAAAAAAATACTATTGGTTATGTTGATAGTATCTTGTTTTGTGTATATTCACATTTCCAAGAAAAAACTTTAAATTTTAATGTCATACATTATTCTTGCAAAGAAATATTTTGGCTTCAAGGAACATATAAATAATGACTGATATATTAGTTGGCAAGTAATACATTGATATAAACAAACTTGTTTGTCTCCAGAAATCATAAATGGTAAAGTAATCTGTATTACAGGTTTATATATTCAATTCTCCTGTTTCTGTTTGGAAAGTGAATCCTTGTCTATGTGTTTTCTGCATACTCAAACGAGTCACCCAGTTTGTCTAATCAGCTAATGACATACCTCTAAAAACAAACATTTCATTTTGAATCACGAACTCTTCTATGGGGAAGCAGTGAGAGAAAAGGTGACATGAAGCATCTAAAGGTTGGAGTCATGTTAGTGTAAGTGCTTTCAAATTTAGTCCCTCTGTTCACCTTGCTCATTTCCCCACTCAGAAGGCTGTGTTGGTGAAGATCAGTCACACAGGAAGCACATGCCCAAGGTACTTTGCTGTGTGATGATGCTCTTCCAAAATGCTTGTTGACTGGTAAGCATAGGCATAGCAAGGAGCAGGTCCACAGCAATTCATAGGAGTTCCTTGTTATTGAAAATTTTAGAGACTTAAATTAGCATGAATTAGGTTGGGTTTTTTTATAAAAAAATACTGATATGT